TTATTATTATCCTCTGCTATAACAAAGGATAAGAAGCTAAAGTAGGTAAGTTATGTCAAGCAGTTGGACTGTCAGGCAGGTGGAATGTGTCAAGCAGGTGGAGTGTGTCAAGCAGGGGAGTGTGTCAAACAGGTGCGTTATAACTGCTGAGTGGTGAGTGGTGGTGTAAAGTTTCAAGGTAAACAAACCGGCCATTACTGAGGACTGCTTGTTGACAGACAGACAGACAGACAGACAGACAGACAGACAGACAGACTACAATTATTCCTATATGTCTCTTGGGGGTGTAAGACATGATAGGAAATAACAATAGAATATTTTATTACACAGGGAAAATACCTGTAAAAAACATATGTACGTAAAATGAAGGAAAATGGAGATGAAGAGAGAGAGAGAGAGAGAGAGAGAGAGAGAGAGAGAGAGAGAGAGAGAGAGAGACCTAGATCGAAACGCCGTAAACTTAGTGTTCAACAGTAACATATAACACAATTCCATAAGGATGTAAAACACACTGCCAACATCATCATAGGTGGTGGGAGGTATAGTCTGTCACCCACACTGGCAGTAGATCTATGGCCTGGTTTGTTATTACTAATAGTTTTCATTTATTATTTAACGTAGAATCATTAACATGGCGCCCCAAGGATGAAACTAACTCACATGTAGATACCCACATCGACGACACCTGTAGCACCTGTAGATACCCACCCCGACAACTCCTGTAACACCTGTAGATGGTGTGCCACATCTCCTTCAGCCTTCATAGGGTAAGGACGTGTGTAGTCGGCGCTGCCCCTGGTCTCTTGACCATGGACACAGCTGCCAGCCTGGTTTGTTGGGCCCTTCCCCTTCCCCGTTTCCTCCTCCCCATCTGGATTTATCAACATCCTCCCACCAACAGTACAGTGCAAAGACTAAAGATTAACCCACAACTGATATACAAAAAGTGACAATTTCAACTCGAAAGGAAGAATCAATTGTTAGAGCGACAATCAGTACTTAGCAGCCAATGTTGACCTGACGCACCCAGCCCGCTGAACACTCGCCACCCCCAACACTGGATGAGATGCCAAGAAACACTCCAAACTACACCAGGAGAGAAATGAGGACTCCCTACTCCACCTGTAACTAACTAATTAAATCACCTGTAACTTACTAATTAAAGCACCGGTAACGTACTAATTAAATCACCGCTAACTAATTAAATCACCTGAAACTTTCTAATTATATCACCTGTAACATACTAATTAAATAACCTGTAACTTACTAATTAAATCACCTGTAACTACTAATTAAATCACTTGTAACTTGTAACTTTTTAATTGATTCACCTGTAAGTTACTAATTAAATCACCTGTAACATACTAATTAAATAACCTGTAACTTACTAATTAAATCACCTTTAACTTACTAATTAAATCACCTGTAACTTATTAATCAACGTCCCTGTATCTCAGTATAACTCACTAGTGGTGCAAGAGATACAACGATGTCCTCACTTAACCACTAAGCTATTAGGTAATTTAGAAAGTTACAATGGAGTCTGTAACCTGTCCTACTATATCATGTAGCCTGCAAGGAGATACAGGAAGTTATGATATATCCTGTTATCTGTTCTGTATTTACATGTGACCTGTAAGCTAAATGATAAAATCACTGTGATAACCTGTAACCTTGACTGTATTTATCAGGAAAACTGTAATCTGTTCTATATTAAACTGTTAAGTCTGTAACCTACTCATCTCCAACTTGTAGCCTGTAAGCCAGTGGAGGAGATAATTAAACTTTACTTGCGCGACTGTACGGAGAGTTATGTGCCTGATTCTCTTGACGACACCTGAGCCGAGGGAAGTTTTGCTGCAGATGGCGTAAGTCTCCTGAAGGTGCGGTGAACACAGGGCTGGGTATTCTTGCGTCATTAAGTTAGGAAAACACCGCAACATTTTCCTGATCTTAAGGTCGATGTTACACCACGAACTTGTACACGCAAATGAAAGTCAAATTATTTATAGCAAGAACACAGAAACACACACACACACACACACACACACACACACACACACACACACACACACACACACACACACACCTGAGATCCCTAGTCCGAGAATTGCTGTTCGACACCACAACCGCATCCAGCCCATACGTGCACGAACTGATCGCTATGAGAACAGCCCAGTCCCAACCATTGTAAAAATTATCAATAACTTGTAAAAAACCAGTGTATTCACTCCCAGTAAACACTGCTCCCTACACTGTCACTATGTTGAAATGAACTGTAGTTTGAGCTGATCCCCATCTAAGTTATTATATGTCTTATTTGTGTCACTTGTATATTATTTGTAATTCGTAACCCATTCCCCAAATATGTAACTGTATATTTTCAGCCTTCTGGCTGCCAAGCTCTTTCAATAAACCGTTAATTATTATTATTATTATTATTATTACACACACACACACACACACACACACATTATTAAGTGCCGTATTACAGTTTCATGTCATGTAAAAATTCCCGTTTATTTATATATTGTTTCAGATAGATTCAATGATTCATGTCCTTGGCAGTGATGAAAGTAATGTACTCGTGTTTTCCATAACTCATAGTAATTGCTTGACGCTACGAAACGGTAATACATCAAATACTCCATAATGATTGTGGATATTTAATACGGACGATTAAATGTGAACATATAGCTCTTGATCGTAGCTAAAAGTTTTACAGGGTTTTATAATATAGTTATATAAAATGTATCTCTCTCTCTCTCTCTCTCTCACTCTCTCTCACTCGTTTTTTATCTCTTGAATTTTTATTTTCACCGAAATGTTTGTCGTGGTAGCTAATCAATCGCTGCAGTGAATGTCGTCGTAGATGATTGATATACAGGTCCAGTCCATTTCCTTTAGATCGTTGGCATCAGTGGTGTCGGCAGGGATTTTTTCACTGCCACCAACATCAATAAGGTGGGCAGTGTATGGTGACGTTGAGGTGTCCACGATAATGTTACCGGGATGGATGTCGAGGTGGCAGAATCCAGCGGCATGGAACTCGTAAACAGCGTCGACAGTGGCCTCATATGCGTCTTCTTTCTGGTCGACCGCGGAAAATGGCACACCATGGATAAATTCCATTACTATTGCTGGTGGGTCAGAGGTGATGCCGTATAAGAGGGGGGCGCCTCCTGCCCCAGCCAACTCATACAGCACTCTGGCCTCGCAGGTTACTGGGGTGTCGTTATGGAGAACTTTGACAGCTACTTCAGTAATGTCTCCGTTCTCCAGGGTGAGGTTGTAAAGGGAGGTAGTTCCATAATCACCTGCTCCAATTTCTTTAATCAACTGAAGTCGGTCCCATGTTACTGTTGGCAGAGAGGGATATGTTTCAACGTCATCGGACACCTTCGCCTTCTTTGGGGAAAATGTTGTTGGTGAGGCCTTCCTCTTAGTCCCCTGTCCCCCGTCCTTCCCGTAAACCTTGTAATATACCTGGAACTGATCCATCTTTATGTGACCTCATGAAAAATATCATACTGAAGTAAACTTAAAAATTGAGGCAGTAAGATGAAAAATTGACGTTTTTTTAATATAAACTATATAGGTTGGAATTTTTGCTTTAGTTATAGTATAGTAATGATAGTGTGGTGGACATCTAATAGTGATGTTGTAATGGACATGTAGTACTAGTATTGTAGAGAACATGTAGTACTGATGTTGTAGTGGACATGTAGTGCTAGTATTGTAGTGAACTGTAGTACTGATGTTGTAGTGGACATGTAGTGCTAGTATTGTAGTGAACTGTAGTACTGATGTTGTAGTGGACATGTAGTGCTATTATTGTAGTGAACTGTAGTACTGATGTTGTAGTGAACATGTAGTGCTAGTATTGTAGTGAACTGTAGTACTGATGTTATAGTGAACATGTAGTGCTAGTATTGTAGTGAACATGTAGTACTGATGTTGTAGTGAACATGTAGCGCTAGTATTGTAGTGAACTGTAGTACTAATGTTGTAGTGGACATGTAGTGCTAGTATTGTAGTGAACTGTAGTACTGATGTTGTAGTGGACATGTAGTACTAGTATTGTAGTGAACTGTAGTACTGATGTTGTAGTGTACATGTAGTGCTAGTATTGTAGTGAACTGTAGTACTGATGTTGTAGTGGACATGTAGTGCTATTATTGTAGTGAACTGTAGTAATGATGTTGTAGTGAACATGTAGTGCTAGTATTGTAGTGAACTGTAGTACTGATGTTATAGTGAACATGTAGTGCTAGTATTGTAGTGAACATGTAGTACTGATGTTGTAGTGAACATGTAGTGCTAGTATTGTAGTGAACTGTAGTACTGATGTTGTAGTGGACATGTAGTACTAGTATTGTAGTGAACTGTAGTACTGATGTTGTAGTGGACATGTAGTGCTAGTATTGTAGTGAACTGTAGTACTGATGTTGTAGTGGACATGTAGTGCTATTATTGTAGTGAACTGTAGTAATGATGTTGTAGTGAACATGTAGTGCTAGTATTGTAGTGAACTGTAGTACTGATGTTATAGTGAACATGTAGTGCTAGTATTGTAGTGAACATGTAGTACTGATATTGTAGTGAACATGTAGTGCTAGTATTGTAGTGAACTGTAGTACTGATGTTATAGTGAACATGTAGTGCTAGTATTGTAGTGAACTGTAGTACTGATGTTGTAGTGAACATGTAGTGCTAGTATTGTAGTGAACATGTAGTAATGATGTTGTAGTGAACATGTAGTGCTAGTATTGTAGTGAACTGTAGTACTGATGTTGTAGTGAACATGTAGTGCTAGTATTGTAGTGAACATGTAGTAATGATGTTGTAGTGAACATGTAGTGCTAGTATTGTAGTGAACTGTAGTACTGATGTTATAGTAAACATGTAGTGCTAGTATTGTAGTGAACATGTAGTACTGATGTTGTAGTGAACATGTAGTGCTAGTATTGTAGTGAACTGTAGTACTGATGTTGTAGTGGACATGTAGTGCTAGTATTGTAGTGAACATGTAGTACTGATGTTGTAGTGGACATGTAGTGCTAGTATTGTAGTGAACATGTAGTAATGATGTTGTGGTGAACATGTAGTGCTAGTATTGTAGTGAACTGTAGTACTGATGTTGTAGTGGACATGTAGTGCTAGTATTGTAGTGAACTGTAGTACTGATGTTGTAGTGGACATGTAGTGCTAGTATTGTAGTGAACTGTAGTACTGATGTTGTAGTGAACATGTAGTGCTAGTATTGTAGTGAACATGTAGTAATGATGTTGTGGTGAACATGTAGTGCTAGTATTGTAGTGAACTGTAGTACTGATGTTGTAGTGGACATGTAGTGCTAGTATTGCAGTGAACATGTAGTAATGATGTTGTAGTGAACATGTAGTGCTAGTATTGTAGTGAACTGTAGTACTGATGTTGTAGTGGACATGTAGTGCTAGTATTGTAGTGAACATGTAGTACTGATGTTGTAGTGGACATGTAGTGGTAGTATTGTAGTGAACATGTAGTAATTGTGTTGTAGTGAACATGTAGTAATTGTGTTGTAGTGAACATGTAGTAATTGTGTTGTAGTGAACATGTAGTAATTGTGTTGTAGTGAACATGTAGTAATTGTGTTGTAGTGAACATGTAGTAATTGTGTTGTAGTGAACATGTAGTAATTGTGTTGTAGTGAACATGTAGTAATTGTGTTGTAGTGAACATGTAGTAATTGTGTTGTAGTGAACATGTAGTAATTGTGTTGTAGTGAACATGTAGTCTATTCGTTTTGTATTGCGAGATGGTTGAACAAGTCACCCCGACACTGCCGCCATCCATTAAATCATGATGTTTTACCTAGTACTGAGTGTTACTTATTTGTGTCTCTGCTTCACAAAGGATAGATAGATAGATAGATAGATAGATAGTTAGATAGATAGATAGATAGATAGTTAGATAGATAGATAGATAGATAGATAGATAGATAGATAATTGTTGATGAGCAACTTCTGATTGGCCATAAACGATCATATTGATTATAAAATGCGTATAAATGAATAGTTTCATACAAAACCTAACCTAACCTAACCTAACCTAACCCAACCTAACCCAACCTAATCTCAAACGTTTAAGGCCTTGATACTTCTTAAAATGCGTAACGCTTTGAGATAACTTTCAAGTATTTATACTGCTTGAGATATCTTCAATTGTTAAGCTGCGTGAGATAACTTTAAACGTTTATCTCACCCGTGGGAACCTCTTACTTAAAGCTGACTCGCGGAGAAGCTTGAAGAATTGTACTCGTCGTCTGAACACAGAAGAAGGCAGCAGGTGGGTCTGTTTCTCTAACGTGTAGTAGAAACAAGAGTCTGGCCTTTGGGTAATTTTTCATGATCTAGAATTTGTCCCAGTGAGGTAAGGTTCAGATATGTTATTGTGTGTTATGTGTTTCTGCTCTCTCTCTCTCTCGCTCTCTCTCTCTCTCTCTCTCTCTCTCTCTCTCTCTCTCTCTCTCTCTCTCTCTCTCTCTCTCAAACCATTTCACAAACTAACAGACATAAACTTACAGCTTGTTAAGACTGTGTCGATATTTGAGGCGTCCGGGAGGGAAGACAAGTGACCAAAAAACAACAACACGCAGTTAAAGTTTAGACAGTTTGGAAATAAGTAGAATGACACAAGAAAAAACAGACTTAAGTTCTTCCTCTTAGGTGATAATAAACACGAGAACAGCAACACGAGATATATATATATATATTAGTTTTAGTTTAGTTTATGGGAATTATACGTTTTTACCAGAGTTCAGGTGTCCGGTATAGCGGGGATACCTTTACACTGAAGTATAATAGAAATTAAACATACCTTCATTTCCTCGTTCGTACATGGCGTTAGAAATGTTATATCACTTTACCCCAGACTACAGTATAACCTAAATGTCCCGCAAGAGAAAATTAATTTATGAAAAAAACATACTGACGGTCACCCTAAGAAATAATCACTTTTAGTAGACGTCAGCTCATGAAACCATTCAGCTGATGGAAGGTTCAGCAGAGTCAGAGAGTTCAGCTGAGAGAGAGAGAGAGAGAGAGAGAGAGAGAGAGAGAGAGAGAGAGATATATATTTGTTAGACATAAGTTAATTTACTTTCAACAGTGATTTAGTGTCCAAGCTTAGCCCTTAACTCATAAATGGTAAACACGCAGACAATAGTTGAATAATTGACAGACAGACAGACAGTTGGTGTAAAAGTAATTGCATCATGTGTAAATTAAAGGTAGATAAAATGCTATTATTATTATTTTTTCCATTTGAAGCTTCAGTAATGCGATTATTTACATTATTGACACCGGATAAACAAACCATTTCGTTCACCAACCTACAAATGTGTATAATGTTTTTAACCTAACCTAACCTAACTTAGCCAAACCTAACCTATAACTACGAAATTACTTACCTTTTGCTCATTAACTCTCCTGTAACTTGTTTTAATATGCAGTTGAACTGTAATTTACTAACCTGTAACTTATTAACGAACCACGTAACACACCTGTATTTTGTATGTGATTCATCTCTAATTTTCTAATTAAATCACCTCTAACTTACTAATTAAATCACATGTAATTTCCTAATTAAATAACCTGTAACATACTAATTAAATCGCAGCAACTAATTAAATAACCTGTAACTTACAAATTCAATCACTTGTAACTTAGTAATCAACTCACCTGTATCTCCAGTATAACTCACACTAGTGGTGCAAGAGATACAACGATGTCTACTTAACCTCTAAGCTATAAAGTAATTTAGAAAGTTACAATGGAGTCTTAACCTGTCCTACTATATCATGTAACCTGCACAGGAAATACAGGAAGTTATGATATATCCTGTTATCTGTTCTGTATTTACATGTGACCTGTAAAACTAAATGATAAAATCACTCTGATAACCTGTAACCTTGACTGTATTTATCAGGAAGAGCTGCTAATCTGTTCTACTGTATTAGACTGCTGCTAAGTCTGTAACCTACTCATCTCCAACTTGTAGCCTGTAAGCCAGTGGGGAGATAGTGCAAACTTTACTTGCGACTGTGTACGGAGGTTATGTGCCCTGATTCTCTTGACGACACACACCTGAGCCGAGAGTTTGCTGCAGATGGCGTAAGTCTCCCTGTGAAGTGCGGTGAACACAGGGCTGGGTATTCTTGCGTCATTAAGTTAGGAAACACCGCAACATTTTCTGATCTTTAGGTCGATGTTACACCGAACTTGTACGCAGTGAAAGTCAAATTGGTTACAGCAAGAACACAAAAACACACACACACCTCACACACACACACACACACACACACACACACACACATTATTAAGTGCCGTATTACAGTTTCATGTCATGTAAAATTCCGTTTATTTATATATTGTTTCAGATAGATTCAATGATTCATGTCCTTGGCAGTGATGAAAGTAATGTACTCGTGTTTCCCATAACTCCTGTGGCGTTAGCGG